TTTTTTTTAGCTGGGTTCATACAGTATGTTTGTCCTACCAGAATCAGAGAATTGTAAAGGGAAACATTGCTGTCATGCTTTGCTTTGTGAGCTTCCAGTTTGATACATTATAAGTTCCAGTTAGAAGAGGAATGGAAAGTTATGTCTTTTTTTGGGATAGCATTTCAGGGTAGGCAGTGGCGTGAGCAGAACCCAACCCAAATTATTTAGTTTCTATTTAAAGCTGGGATCTTCCGTTTTTTCAAAAATGGGAATTTTAGGGCACATTTGCCAGTAAATGTTCATTACAAGCCATTACGATAGTACTTGATGAAAATKTAATGTATGAACTAGAATTAAAAAAGGGCACAGAGGAATGCAGTTGAGAGCAGTTAATGTAAGTTGTTGGGTGTAAGGAGTCAAGTCTCAGCAATGGCATACAYCTGAAAGACTTTAGTATAATTATGGGCAATGTTCTGGAAAATGTTCTTTAAAATGTTCTGTAGTTGTCCATTTGGTACCTGGAGGCATCTGGGCAGTGCTGCAGAGCTCCATGGCTTTTCCTTGCAGTCCTTGTTCAAGCAGGCTCATTCCTCAACCTGTGTAATACTGGCACTAGTGTTTTTGTAGCCAGTAGTGTTTTTTGTAGTATTTTTGTTTAACTTGCCAGATCAGTGAGAGGACTCTGCTGAAAATAACCAGATTTATAGCTTTTTTTGGCAGGACAGGGCTTGGGTGGGATCAGGTTGGATCATATTTCCCACTGGCACMCAGCCATTGGAACACAGCTTGATAACACAGCTAAGCCAAAATGCAGCTCCACCATTAGGATGTTGCCTTATTTGAATATTTGGTTTGAATTCTGTCTTATGGTTCTTGTTATGTTTTTCTGCTCCAGGGGAAATATATATTTTTTTAGTGCTTAGTACACTCTTTCCTGGAAGGTACTTTATTCCAGTCAGGCTTTATATAGATATTTTTTGGTAAATCGACCATTTGATGATTGTCTAATTACTCCTAAGCCTAAACTGTTACATGGAGGGATAGTGCCCATTTTCCACTGTTCTCATCAGTGATCCAGCAAAGTAGACCCAAAGTGTACTTTGGGGGCCCTGTCTCTTCTATTTTTAACATGCTCTGGTAAGTGAAAAATGTTAAAGAAGTCTAAGGAGTTCATGTCTGTCTAAGGAGTTCATGTCTGTCTAATGCTTGTCATACCTGATTTCACTTTTTGATGACATTACAGGACCAGTTTTCCCTAACAGTGTGTTGACAAGCATAGTTTGTTTTTGGTTCTAGGGAGCTCATTAATTTAGGCAAGGCATAACAGACAGTTATTGGAAGCTGAATTCAGATGTATATTCAAATTTGAGGAAAAGCAGTGTGTAGAGCCAAAGTAATTAACTGTTGGAACAATCTCCCTGGATATCTGACAGATTTCTTATGATTGGAAGTCTGGAAATTAGTATGAACATAGGTCTGTTATAGCAGAAGGTTGAAGGAGGTACTGAGTAAACTTACTTGACCTGTTTAGCCTGACTRCATTGATTGTGATAATTACTAAGGGATTTTGAGGAAGAGAGAAGTGGGAATTACTAGAATGAGTTCAGATTATTACGGGTAATTTACAGATTAGTTCCATGCTGAAAGCTGCCTGTCTGAACTGGAAGCAGTCTGTCATTCAGTTTTCCCCTCAGAGTAGCCCTGACCCGAAGAGCAGACCATAATTGCAATTAAGCAGAGCTTGCTCAGCCCCACTCTAAATGTTTAAATTTCATTTGCTGGACAGGCACCTGCATGGAGTCGAGCTGGCTGAAGGCTCCTGCATGGACTCCTTCTGCTCCAAGCAGTCTCCACGTCTCTTCAGATGTTTTCCGTCRGGAGGATGGAAAACTGTTCCCTGTGCTTCAGATAGAGTGGAAAGTGGCCACGGATGGTAAGTGATGGTTGTTTAATTTGAACATGAAGCACAGGAAATAGGTGTAGTAAGGATAGTGAGGAGAATTATGACTTCAAGCCTTTGCTCCAGTCATGAGAGCAGGTCTTGGACTTTCGAGAGGTTGGCTGCTTGATTTTGTTTGTTTGGTGGGTGTAATCTTATCCTTGTGTGTCTTGATAAAGGAATAATTGTCTCATGGTTGGAGCCTAAATAACTACCAAAAAGTCAAGATTTTTCACTCTTCAAATACCTTTGATTGTTTGTCTGTAAATAATGCTTTCCTAGCATACTCTTGTCCAGAGTTTTGCACTGATTTCAGACAGAATTAATTACATTTCTCCCTTCTGCAGGGCCTGTGTCTGAGAGCTGTAGAATTATGATCTGTAGCTATGGTAATTTAGAAGCAGRTGTGACTCTGACCCAGTCATTTCATTCAGCTGTGGTTGTAAACTCTCTCCCTGGGACCGTTTGTACCAAAATAAAAGTGTGTTTGCTTTGGCACCAAACTGCACGGAGCAGCTTTGAGAGGCAGAGTTAAACACGACACTGAATCCATGGCACTGCCAGGGCATGTGGAGAATGCAGTTGCCTTCTCCTTTGCTCCTTCATTTGCACAGATGTAGCTTTGTCATGCAGGACAACCTTTAGGCTGAGAGTTCTATTAGTCAACCCTGCATGCTCACMTTTCCATGGCCAGTTATCTTTGGGATCCTCAGCACCTCAAAGGAGTAAGACCATGGCAAGATTAGGTGCAGTGGTAATCTCTGTGGGGGCTGCAGCCTCTCTGTGTGCAGAGGAGAGGAAGAGATGAACGTGTCCCTCTGTCCCTGTGCTTGCAGCCAGCATCCGCAGTCTGGAAGGGGCAGAGCTCGCCGTGATGCAAGTGAGCAGCAATCAGCAGCTTTGTGCCCAGTTTGACTTCCAGAACAATTTGCCTCTTCAGGTCCGTCCGGATGGAGGCCGGGTAAGTTCAAAGGGCTCCAAATTGCATTTTCTAGTCCATGGTTTTCTTTCTGCTTTCACTGTTTTGCCACTTTCTGCTGTCATTTGCTATTTATCTTTCACTCCTTCCATCCTTCAGGTTTTAAGAATTGTTGCTCTTAGTGCCTAGCACTTGTCATCACTCTGGATGTTGCTTAAGGCAAATAATTGTAGGGGTTTTGCATTCTGCTTGAGAGCATGCCATTTTATAGTTTTTTAACTCAACTCTTCCTATTGTTTCCTACTTCTTTCTTGTACTCTCTTGTTGCAGAGAAAAGTACCAACCTTGGGGGTGGTCCTTCAGCTTACACTCCTTTTAGGAAACTCAACAGAAAAGTGCTGAGMAGCCACAACAATAAGGAATATAAACAGTAAGGAATCTGGAGTTCTTTCCTTACCACACAGGATTTGGCTATAGTTATCTTACCACTTACCAGTTACCACTTATCACTGGCCTAGGAGCCAGTGGCTCTCCTGGAATTTGCACAGAGTTGCTGATGCAGAAAACAGTATAGATTGAAGAAAATATGGAATGTGGAATGGCCAGGTACAGAACCACATACATATAAATGCAATTCTAAATCCTTAGTTCTTGCACAGTGCTGCAAGATTCATACTAGACTGAAATTTCTGTCTTGAAACTGCGTATCTTAGTCTAATCTCCTTTCAGTTCAAAATGTAATTTGGTGGAAACTCCACACAGTGGTTTGGCATAAAACTGTTGCATCAGCTCAAAGATCCCAAGAAAAAAAAACTAATTCCAAACAGAAGAATTGAGACAGACAAAGAGACAGGYATATTGAATATACTTGAGCTCCAGTTTTTTAGAGTCAAGCTTCATTAAAAGGGRTGAGGGAGCACGGTGGAACAGGGCCAAGTCAGCTGTTACTTTCAGTGCCTTTAAAAAGCAGCATTCTCCTTYAAAGTCCTTGTGGATGTGTTTTATTTTCAGTGGAATTTCACTTTTGACCGTTTTGAAGTGGAACCTGGCCTGACTTACCAGGTGACTGTGTATCACCTGCCCAAACTGGGGGTAAATGGAGACTACAATTGCAAGTCCACGTCTCTCACAGTGCCTGGTAAGAGGTGATTTAGTTCACTTGGGCCTTGAGTTTAGGAATGTGGTGATTTGTGGACCTATGTATGGGATGTTTTTTTCCACTCCAGATCCATGAACTGTAAGGAAGTTTGGCAATAGGTTGGCAGTATTATAAGAATGTGTTGTCCTTTCTGAATATTGCTGTTCAGAAAACCCACAGTGCCAGCCTTATCACCAATACCCCTTTGGTGTGCATCCAAAATGTGTTGTACCATTTCTGCTAGAAATCACCATCCTTATTTCTGGCATCCTTTGTCCAGAAGTTGTCAGATTTCTGCTTGGAACAAGGCGTGTGTGGAAGGACTATTCTGTGAGGGACAGACCCTTTGATTCCAGTTGACTGCAGTTTCTAAATAGAACTTACTGCTAGAAAATTTGTATATGCTTTCCAGAAAGCTGGACAAAGCTTGAACTTGGGTCTTTGATTTCTGAGAAATTCCATTTGTGGTTTGTCAGGAGTTTTGCTACAGCTGTGGCTAAAGAGAAATTCATAGTTAAACCTGGGAATGGGTGTAGGTGCCCCTCTGAAGGGCTAGTTGAAGATAAGTTAGATCTAGATTTTGTAGCTGAAGTGTTCATCAGCTAAGCAGGCACAAAGATACTTAATCTGCATGAATGGGGCTGTAATCTTTCATGCTCTGTGCAGAACATCACTGCTTCTTTTACTTAATTTAAAACCTTTCAAAGTTGCCCCTCTGCTTATGGCAGTTGCAAGAACAGGCCAGAATTTTTAAATCAGAAGTTTGCCTTCTAAAGTTAAATCTTAAAAGTGTGAAATTCAATTTCAAAGGCACAGTTAGGCATAATTTGCCAAGAAGCTTGGTAGTGCTGAGTGTTTGACCCTTTCTTGTGGATGTAAACGTTTTCCTTTTGCTAAAAGAATTTTCCTTGTTTTCCCCAAGGTTGCTGAGMATCTGCAGTGCTCTCTGGCTGCACTGACTACTTCATAAACATTTGGTGTTTAATATGGAGCTTGAAAACTGRTTCTTAACTTTTTTCTTATCTTGTAGTTGTCATCCTGACTTTATAGTTATAAAATGGCAAAGTATGGAGTGTGACAGTTAATGGGAGCTGGAAAAAGAGAGGGAGCACTTAATTTTTAGCCCTCTTCTCCTTATGCATGTTACACTAAGAACTTCCCAGCTTTTATCCTCTGCTATTCTTCAGAAACCCAATGTATGGTGTCAAGCTCAGCAATTGATTAGMGCTTACACATGAATTACAGAGACACTGTAAATTCATAAACTTTATGAAGTTTAAATTGGTAACTTTGAAAGTTGTAAATTTAAGATATGCAGTGTTTTGCATTCTCTCAGTGCAGTATCTCAACTGTTTAAGCAGCAAGTTGTTCCTTTCCTTTGTCCAGACCCTAGAGGAGAGACATATTTTAAGGGTGAGAGTTGTAAATTCTCCATGTTGAATGTTGAATATGTAACCCTGGATTTGACTCTGAAGGAAATCCCAAAGWGCAGGGCAAATCTGCTAAATAAAGTGAATTAGAAATGTGGAATAGTGTTTCATAATTAAGAAAGATTCCAGCCTCCTAATTTTCCTGTGTCAGAATGCCTTTGGAGGAGTCTGTTGCTGTGGTGTGATTACAAGTTGTGGGGATGAATATGAAGTTTTCATTCCACTTTTGTGACCCTTTCAGCCCAAGTCTTACATTTTCAAGGATTCTCAGATATTGCTGTTTTAATAAATATGGTGTGGTTTTAGTCTCATTAATTTTMTCTGTTCTGAAAAGAAAAACAAAGCACAGCATTGTATGAGGGAAGGGACTGGTTTATAGACTGGAAATCAGTAGTGTTCTACAAAATTTTGCTATGGCTTTTGAACAAAGGTGTTTACTCATTTAGGAGAGCTTAGTTGGCTTCTGATAAGAAAATGTGTTTTCTTCCTAAACGGAACTACAGTATTCCTGACTAGCCACTGATGTCTTTCTTGCAGACTGCAGAGATTCTCTGATGAGAAGAACCATCCCATGTATAGAGACAGGTAAACATTTTTGAGTCCCATAGTCATGGGCACTCTGTTGGAATATTTGACAGTTGAGAAACTCGGGAATATCTGCCCTCCTTCCAGGCCGCTTGTGGGAACCCAGGATCCAGGGTGAAAGTCTTGATGACACAACTCTGCTCGTGAGCTTCAACCCATGGACGGAGCCAGCCCGATACCAAATTCATGTGGCCAGTTACCTGAATGAGAAGAAGTGTAAAATGATCACCCATGATTTCACTGAGGTAATGACCTTCCTAAGTCACACCTTCTCTGGTGAGTTAGGCAAACATATTAAGTGGTTGTTAAACCCCAACATTTGAACAATAAATTATACGGAATTATTTTTATAGATTTTTCGTTGTCTTTTGAAAGAGGAATTKTATTTCAGGAATTTGGTGGATAAAACGTTAAAAAAGAGCTTTTATAATGCATAAAGCAGCCTTTAAAGATCTGCAAAGTCAACTTTGATGTCTGACTATCTGGGCTTTATTACCTTTTTCAAGCCAGTGCCTGGGGTGCTAAGACTAAGTAAATTAACCAGAATTGAGGTGCAGAGTTTCAATAAATCATTGAAGTACTTTTTCAAATATGATCACAGGAAAGTGTGAATTAAATTTTTAGATAAAGAGTAAGTGATTTAACACAGATGCTTCATTCAAGCTGAGAATCAGTTTCTGTAGGTCTTGCAGTCTATATTGCTGGGAAGCTCAAAGTGTTCAGTGTCCTCCAATATAAGAAAGGTCTCCTTCAGGCATCTGAGGGAGGAGAAATACTGAATACTTGGAACCRCTCTCCACCCTTCCTTGGACAAGGGCAAATATATTGCCATTCAGCTGGTTTAGTCTTTCTACACCTTAGCACTTAAAACCCTCAGTRTTGTATGCACTGATACGTTTAAGTTATTACTGACACAAATGGGWCACCTGTGTGAGTATTTGCCTGGTGGAGGGGAATGACCCTCATTTTGGAGGATGTATCTGCCAATCACTGTGAAGGTTGTATTATCATGATATTGTGTACAGCAGGTAGCAAGGGCAACCTGCTTGCCTGTTCTAGTGTCAGAAGCAGTGTTGACAGCTGCTTTTAATTAAACAAGGAAGCTTGTTATGTTTACACATTACAAAGCTGAAGACATTACATTGTTAATAAACTGTAAGTTTAATTCCTTTGAAGTTATACAGTGTGCATCCCTAATTGTTTCCTGTTACCTGTGCAATCTCAGCTTGCTGCTTTAATTGTTACCATGTCTCACACAGGATRCCTGCAGTGATGGTGGCAGATTCTTTGCCCATTTTGTTCTCTGTGGGCTTCCTGTTCAAAGGAGAAAAAAATAGCAGSTTCTGCTTCTTTGGACCCCACCATGTTCTCATGCCAACTTCTCTTCTTTTTCCTGCTTTCACTCAGTTTTCTTCTTTCCCTTATAACTTGCATTTGATTTCTGCAGTATGGACTACAGGAGCAAGTGAATGTCACAATCAAAATRGAGAAGAACATAAAAGCTTGCTGCAGCTACAAAATACAGGTGGGATCACACTGTTGTCCCTGTGTCCTTCCTTCACAAAAAAGGCAGTGAGCAGCTTAGGAATGTCAGGGTTTTTTTCACAGTGTTTTGTTCTGAGATTGGATAATCTCTAATTAGTTGTGTCAGGGAAATCATGATTATGGCTGAAAGAGCGATTTTTTTTTTTTTAATAGGTATTCTCAGTAGTCAGTGGCTTTTCCTTAGTTTAGGGCTGCCAGATCAGAGACTATGGTATGGGAATGGCACAACCTCAGGAGCTCACAGCCTTCTTRATGTATAGTGTAAGAATTCTTAATTAATCTTGTTTATCTTGTTTTCTGAAGGGAAATGGGAATTCTGTGTCTCTGTGCTAAAATACAGGGAATGTTGAGGCAGGGAGAAAGTAAATCAGGGAACAAAATTTCGTTTAAGAATAACTTCTGTTTTCTGAATYCATTTCAACTGCAGATTCAACCATTCTTTGCGAATTGTGGCACAGACTGTCTGAGACATTCTGCTTTCATCCCATGTGAAGCAGTTCCAAGTGAGAACCACTTTTCTGTAAATTTGATTCCCATTGTTTCACAGCTGAGAACTGAATTTTTAACRTAACTCTTTCTCTTTTGCAGGTACAGAACCATCGGGTAAGAAGTTCTTCCAATACCCTGAAACTTTTTTTGCTGCTCTTTTCCTGTTGAATAAGAAATGTTCCTTCCTGGGAATGACCCAATGGGCAGGAAATGTTCCTGTTGAAAATTTTATATTATTTGAAAATAATATAAAGTGATAATATGAAGTAGACAGCCCAGAGCTGGTGGTATATTAACTGTAACAGCCATTTTGTAATGTGGACTGCAGAAACCACCAAAGCTCCCACTGAAACCTCAGAGGATACAAAATGAGCACATGGCAAACGCTTGGTAACAAACCACCAAACCAACAAAGAGCAAGGAGACCTCAGACCCTAATAATGCTCTTGGTCTGGACTGTCACATGGTGGATGGGGGGTTTAGGTCATAAGGGCTTAACTGCCCAGGGATTTCTTTGTTCAGGGTCCCTCTTCTGAGCCACCAAGCTCAATCAGCCAGGTATCATAATCAATATGTGCCAATAAATCTCTCTGATGGAGATGAGATCCTAGAGTCAAAAATTTCTTTAACAGTTCCCTTGTAAAACTGAGTTCAGAATTAATTGTGCTAAGAATGACTTCACCATGATTTAATGAGGCAAGTATTTGTATGCAGTGTGAACCTTAAAGAGCAGTTTTTTTAGAGACACTTCACTTGCACAGAATTCTTTGAGAAGCAGTTTTGACAAGAAGAGTCTTAATATAAAATACTTTCTGTCACTTTGCTCAGTGTTAAAAAATTTGCATAATATAAAGCAGCTTTTGGAGAGAATAGCTTGCATATATTCATTTTTATGAGTGTCAAGATAGCTTGTGCATAATGATTTGACATCTTTTTTTTGGCTGCAACACCTGTAAGGATCTGCTTTGCCCAAGATAAAAAAAATACCTGTAAACTGAAATTAATGACCCAAAATGTTGATTTTTAATTTTTTTTTTAACTAGATTACATGAACAGGCAGGACATGGGCGGCATGCCTGTCAAAGCTGGGTAAACATTGCTATTTAGAGGAAGGTTCTTGATCTGTGTTTTCAGTGTGCTGCACATATGGTTCTTTGTGTGGAACAAGTTAATGGTGTACAGCAGCATCATGAAAGCAGGAATTGGTTTGGAGAAGTGATTGTATATTGTAAGGGAGAAGTACTGGTCTACTCAGCACAACCAGAGTCCTCCTCCTCTGCTGCTGGCCTCTGCTGCTCAAGAAACATCTGCTCTTTGGTGAAACTCTGTGTAAGGCAGTGTCTGAGGAGTGTTTTTGGTTTTGCAGATGATATGATGATATGGCTCTACTGGTGTATCACTGGGATCTCTGTGTTACTGGTGGGGTCAGTCATAGCAGCTATGCTGTGTATGACTAAAAAACAAGCAGGTAAGATTCCGATCAGCCAGGAAGAAAAAAATCAATGCTAAAGTGTGTTTTTTCCTCCATTTGCACCTATTCCTATTGCTATTTTGTTCCTTGCTGTTCTGATGCCTTGCTGCTGAGCTAATGCCTATGTAAACACCTTCTGTTTTACATAATAGGACCTTGTAGGATGTCCTAATACCATAGACTAGATAAGTAGTGTTCCATGGGTTATCCTGTCTGATATTCCATGATCACAGCATTTCAGAGCCCTTGGGGGGAAAAGGGAATTTCGTAGTTCAGCCCTTTGTTTCTTGCAGATTGCTGCAGATATCTTTGCACATGTTTTTCTCCTGCATTGCATAAGAGTTTTGCAGAACAGAAGCTTCCTGTTTGTCTGCAATGTAGTCTTCCCCCTGACCCCCCGAAGTCTCTGCAAAATTAATTTTATACTATTTTGAGGTTAGATAAGGTTTTTCAATTAAAGTGGAAGAAAATTACAGGACATAGAGATTGACATCATGCAAGTTGGAAAACTGGGTACTTAAGGACTAATTCCTGGTCTTCTGTGCTGCAGCCATGAGGCAGTTATCACAGGAAGGCTGTAACTCACTGCTTGTCTTGATTTCTTTTTACATGAGAGGAATRATTGGTAATCTTGGAAAATTTCGTAGCATCAAACTTACAGATAAGATGTAGCTAGGGATATTTTAGTCACCTCTTCAGAGAAGCTTCTTAAGAAAAAGCCATCTTTAAAAAAGCCTTTTCTCCACAAAGAGAGGTAGCAGAACAGTTGGGGGTTCTAAACTTGAGACTGCTTAGATTTTGGGGAGATGGCGAAAGTTTATTTTGAGTGCATTCTGTCTCCTCTCAAAGGAAAAATATAGCAAGAACTGGCTGTAGAAGAGTCTTTGTTCATTCAGCATGTTTTCTTCTTAGTCTTCTCCCTCCCTATGGCTTTATCTCCCTGTACAGATAAAGATTTTTTTTTAACCTAACCTATGGAAGATGGTGTGATTTTAAGCATTTCTTCCTATTTCATGTTTTCAGAACTGACAGTGACTTTCTCTCTTCCAGGACACCGACGAGGGAAATGTAACCACAACAGTTTGCAAGCTGGTAAGATGTCACTTGTGTTTTATCAAGCACCTGTCATGCATTCTGCAGGTCTCACACAGTTGCCCAGAAGGGACTTTTGGAGTCTCTAACTATTCTATAGATGCTTTTTGAAGCCAAAAGGTACCCTTAGGTTCTTTATCTTTAGCTAGAAGAAGCTTTGTATATGGAGTTTGCAATACTGTATTTGTCAGATGGGAGGCAATTGCTCTGGAATGTGGTGAGACTTTTGACCCAGCTAATCATCTAGGCCATAGCAATAGGAGCTTGGTTTGGGGTGGGTGCACTCAGTTCTCCACCAGAGAATACAGCAATATTTGCAAACCTCTTGGAGCTGCTGTATTATTTTTATGAGGTGAAAGTCGATGAATCATCTGGGCATTATAAATCACAGCTTCCCTGTGTCTGTACTTTAATATTAAATTTACCCAATGAGATACTGTCCACATACATTGCAAAAATAGCATTAATACTTAAAAATTTTGTTAATACCCTCCTTCCTATGCTGATTAGTGCTGACTCACACCATTACAATTTTAGAAATGTGGCTGGAATTAATGTTTTTCTGTCTTCCATCAGCACCATATACCGAGCTCTCCCTGCCACCCCTGAAGCCCCAGAAGGTTTGGATTGTGTACTCTGCTGATCACCTGCTCTACGTGGATGTGGTGCTGAGGTTTGCTGAGTTTCTGATGACGGTCTGTGGCACTGCTGTGGCCTTGGATCTGCTAGAGGACCACCAGATCTCGGAGYTGGGGCCACTACCCTGGCTCACACGGCAGAAGAAGGAAATGGAGGACTTGTCTTCAAAGATCATCATCTTGTGTTCTCGGGGCACCCAGGCCAAATGGCAGGCCATGCTTGGCAGTGAGCCGGTGTGTCTCAAGCAAGATCAGCAAAAGCCARTGGGAGACCTGTTCACCCCAGCTTTGAATCTGATCCTGCCAGATTTCAAGAAGCCAGCCTGTTTTGGAATGTACATAGTCTGCTACTTCGAGGGAATAAGTAGCGAGAGAGATATACCTGATCTGTTCAATGTCACATCCCGGTACCAGCTGATGGACAAATTTGAAGATATTTATTTTCGGATTCAGGATTTGGAGAAGTTTGAACCTGGGCGGATCCATCGAATCCAGGAAATCACAGCCGAAAATTACATCGATACCCTCAGTGGGAGGAAGTTGAAAGAGGCCATAGAGAAGTTCAAGAACTGGCAGACTGAGCACCCAGACTGGTTTGAGAGCGAAACCATCTGCTTGGACAGTGATGAAGAGTTGCATTCCCTAAACAGAGAGAGCCAGGCAGATTCACTGCTGGGTGAGCCGGGGGGAATTGTGAAACACCAGCTGCACCTACGTGAGCCTGACCCCAGCTGCTGTTACGCCATCGACCTCCACATGCATGAAGGGGAAAGTACAGGCTGCAAACTGCAGCCTCAACTTAATSCGTGTGGGAATCCAGCTTCTCAGACTGTAGTCCTTCCTATGGATGGGGCTCCAGGAGTTCAGGTGGTGGAACCAGTCTCTTCCACTGAAGATAGAAATATACTCAGTCATCATGTGCTGAGTAATGAGGACTGCATGGAAGGAGYTCCTCTTCTGGAGAAAAGCTTTCCAATGAGGAATAACATCATTTTTCACAATGACTCTGAGGTTTCAGCAGTAGCTGACCAGAGTCCTGCAAACCTCTCAGATGACCTGAGTGACCATCTGAATGGACTCATGTACCCTCTTTATCAACAGAGTGTCATTCCTTCAGAACTTCGTCTCTGCCAAGGGGAGGCTGACAAGCAGCACCAGCTGGTCTATGATGACCAATGCAAAGACCAAAGACAGTCYGTGCAGTCAGACCAGGGCTACATCTCCAGATGTTCTCCTCTGCCTCCTGAGGAYCTTCTAGAGGAGGAGGAGGAAGAGGAGGAGGATGATCAGGAAAAACAGGTGGGCTTCCATGARCTCTCTCCAGAGGTCCTCAACAGTCTAAAGAGCCTCCAGAAGCAGCTGTTTTTCCAGGACATTCAGAGGAGCTCTAACTGGAGCTATCCAGCTGAGGTGATGGACATTGACCAGTCTTTGGAGGACTGTTAAGTTCTGCCTGGGACCTGCTCTGTTTGAAACACAGGGATGGAACGTGGTCCCATGCAGAGTACTGAGRTTGCATTTCCAACACCATTTTTGTCCTTGTATTGTAAAAGACTTAGTGATGGGTTCTTCCTGTGTGCTGCTGGGATGCAGCACTGCCCAGTAGACTTGGAAAGTTGCCTCCAGTCTCTGTGGAGAGAAGCCACTAATATCAGCCACCCCTGTGAAAGAACAGGCAGTGGTTCTGTTCCCTGGAGAAGGGCATTACATTGAATCCTCAGTGATGATGGCAGAAAAATTATAATGGCTCATCCACTCGTGCCTTCAAAATGCCCTCCAGCTGTACTGATTCTATTGCACTGGTTAAAAGTTGTAGGCAGGGTTTAGAAAACAGGTTTAGATAACATGGTAAGATTGSCATTGCTGTTTTCATGCACATTTTAAACATTTTGTTGTAAATACCTTGTTMAAGATGTGTTCCTTAAATTAGATTAGGGCTGTCTCTACCTGTTTCATACATGTGCCTGGAGATTTTTTTTTCACCACTCATCCATTCATTTGCAGCTGCCTTTCTGTGGTCATTCAGAAATCAAGTGGAGTAACTGAGAATAAGTGAGATTAATTTTTTAATTGTCTCCATAACTCTCCCTGCCTCCCTACTGAGAGGTATGTGCCTGAGAACCAGCAGCAGCAGGGTGGGGGAAGAGGACACCAAAAAGTTGAATTTGGGTTTGTTACACAGTTTTAAGAAATGTGGGGCTGAATACAGAATTGGGGAAACTTGGTGTATTCTGTGACACACTGCTGCAGTGCTGTTTGCTTTTGGACATCTTRGCTCCAGGAAGATGTGAACTAAAAATACAGATAGTGACACACAAGGAAATGGAAGACAATTTTGGAGGAGAAAAAAATGTAGCTTCAGCAGATGTTGTTTTAGAGTAGAGATTATATCTGACTTAGGGGAGTCTGARCAGAAATAGTCAGACTGAGACGTACTTGTGTGGATTTAAGCTCAAGCATAGGTAGCTCAGGTTAACCACAGTAAAATACTGAATGGACTAAGGGGTTCATCTTCCAGGAGCAGTCATGGTAACTATCAATTCCTGTAGTTTTTAAAAATAGTCTGGATGCACTAGAAAAAGCTGTTCCCTGCAAGTGATGGCATGTTGGCCTTTGTAGCACTGACTGGGTACCAGACTAGTTGAGGTTGGCATTTACCCTGTTTATTATCACTGTTTCTGCAGCTCACTGGATAACAACCTGTGAGGTGTAAATATATCCAGGCCTTCCTCCCTTGTCTTCAGACAAGCTTGTCATCTTCCTGTCCGTCTAAATTTACTTGTCAAAAAATCTTACAATTTTATCTCAGCTTTTTTTAAATCTGATGTCTCCGAAAAGAATCTGTTCTTTGGACTTGCAATTTATTTTGTATTGAGTATATTTTATAATTTTATTTCTGTCTAACTGTGGGGTTTCTCCTTAAATTAAAAACCAAGAATACATTTTGGATGTATCTTCTTCAACACTTCTGTGTCCTCAATTCTGACTAACTCCTTTCAGTAAGTTCTTAATATTTGTTGTAGAAATCTAAGGCAAAACTGAGTCAGAACTGAAGTGGCTCACAAATGTCAGAACAGTCCTGCAAGGCAAAGTATGGAGATGAGCTGGATAGAGTTGAGGGACTGCACCCATGRGAAGTGCATATCCCTTCCAGGTGTYAAAGGAATTGTAATTTCCATGCAGGACTGCTCCACGAGGCAGGATTCTWAAAACAGCCTGACAATAAAGGGCCAGTCCCTGCGGAGATCCAGACTTAAGACTGGGAGCCTTCCTGCTCCAACAGGAATCCAATCTAACCCAACAGGAGCTAAGCAAGAGGCAGCTGTGATYTCAGTGCTTCTCCAGTGAGAACCCATTTCCCAGTTTATGTGAATAATTGCCATCTTGATGATCCCACTTCTAAAAGTTTCTTTTATCTTACAGCAATTAGCATGTGATTTTTTTTTCCCATGAGTCTTTTTCAAGTGGTATAAATTCCTATAAATCACTTAAATAGGAAGCTCAGAAGTGTCATCTGAATTTCCTTGCCTTAGTCATTCCCTTCTCAAATAACTCCCTTGGTATTACAGCTCTTGGAATTTGCTTTCACTTACAAAATGTTTGAGGAGAAAATCCAGACACTATTTTAGCAATCCAGCATGAGATTGCATCTCATTTAATGCATCTGTTGGTCCCTATTCAATACAAAATTGAATAGCCCAGCAAGACTCAAAGGAGGAAAATAAAGGAGCAAAATCAGACACAAGTTTCTAATTTTATTTTAACAATCTTGCTTTTTAAAAAATRCAAGTTCTGATTAATGCCAGGGGGATGCCAAGTGTCCATCAGCCACAGGCCCTATCTCTCACTTCAGTTTCCCCTCCTGGGAGTAGTCATCTGTTTTGTCAGGATARCAAACAAAGAGCAATAAAATGCTAAGTAACTGAGTTGTGTTACAAGGCTCGTAACAGAATCCCAAGGGACCTTTGTCTTAGTATGGCACAATTTCATTCAGCAAAATGTTACTGACCTGGACCAGTAATTTAATGTTGGCAGAATATACTGGAGTTGTGCAAGGTGCGTTGGGAGAGGTATTGCTTGCATTTTCATGGTACYACCATCTCTCTCTTCTGCAAATGGATCCATTGTGCAGCAGAAAGGTTCAAATGGAAGTAAGAGCTCAATTACCAACAAGAAGGGAATTCARAAGGAGGAGAAGGCTTTATAAACACAACATTGAAGATTGCAGGAGCAGCAGAACTGCCCTTTCAGTTGGAAGGGGGCTTCTATATGGCCATCTACAAGAGCTTTACACTCTCCAAACAGCACATTTCCTAACAACCTAGAAACCATGGCRCCACAAAAAAGAACTTTTTCTACAAAGGAATTCTATGCAACAGAAGTGTCATTTTGCAGGGTCATGTGTCCCAGACAATTTTTTCATTTACAAATTTGAACTGTGAGTTCACCACTAATGGGTTAAATATGCTATGGCCAGATAAATCTCAAATATGCCATTTTTCTCAATAACATCCTAACTGGAAAAAAGGCACTCACTGTTGAAACAGCAACTTTGTTATGTGCTATGAAGGGGTACTGAAGTAAGACTTGTTAATGATTCTGCTGTGATTCTTCTGATGTCTCAACTATGCTCAGGCTTCAGTGTATTAGGGATTAGCACTTTGGTGCTATTTGGAATTTGGCCATAGGAGCAGCAAAACATAGTTGGTAATGAGAAGCTTTTTTTTGTCCTTCAGCTTGTTTTTGGCAAAGTTGGTTGGGGATTTTGTTTTCTTCAGCTGTTTGACTGAAGAATGGAGTAGTCCTAGGTTCAGATATCACCTTATTCTCTCTTGAATAATTATTTTTGAACTTCTACTATCTATTTAATGCTGAAAAAGGAAGGTGYAAGGAAACAAATATCTGTACAAGCATAATATAGCTGTAATTACACCTCCTTTGGCCAGGAACTTAGCATCCCCTCGACACATTTCACATCACATAGGAAAAGTTCACAGTACCAAGTTTTACAATCACAGTCACTCACAGCACCAAGATTGTCCAGACAAGAAGTTACCGAAGAGAAAGGCCACTGGCCAAAATTCACACAATTGCCCATGTARGGGCTCAGGTTAAAAATAAAGCACTGGTGGGAAAGTTAAGCCTAGCTTTTGCCAACTCTCCATTTGGCATGAAGAGAGCAGCAAGTCACTTATCCTAGCTGCACTTCTGAACAGAACAGCACTATTGACCCATCTTTTCTAGGGGCTTTTCTAGCCCCTCAAAACCCATCAGCCACCAAGAGCTGGGGGAGAAGAGCCCCATGGCAGCCCCACTTCTGCCTCTGGGAGCTGGAAATTACCAGACTGTAAACATTTTGTTGTAGCAGTCCACCGGAGCAGGCAGTTGATCCCACTCTGTGAAAAGGAAGGTGGGACTGAGGCTCTGAAGCCCAAGCCCTGAAGGAAAGAATGAATGTGTGTGCGGAAGAAGTCTGGGCTGCGCCTGCAGTCCTGCTGTGRGCTCTGGGTAGCAGTTGGTTGTGCTTTATTTCCCTTTTCCATCAGGACAGCTTGAAAAAAAAGTGACAGGAAACTGTCATTTTTCACAATTATTGCAGCCTTGCCCAGAKAACAAAATATAAGCCTGGGAGGGGCAAAGTCCTTCCTCCGAACGTGGCGTCTGTGCTCCTGCTTCCATGGGGCTGGAGCAGCTGCAGCCAGGCAGAAGAGCAGGCCTTAACCCCACCAAACATTCATGGAGCTTAAAACCAAAGAAAACTGTTTTCCTATGAGAGGTTACTAACAATTTTTCCCCACCTACCCTAAACCACATGCACACAGGACAAGATGCTGATACATGGGCTTTCACCGAAGCTCGGGAGCCCCTCTGCCTTGAGTGCTCCTGGAGCGTTTTGCTTTTTGTGCTGAAAAGTGAGGTTCACTAAGCATGGAGYGCACCCCGAGCAGTGCCAGCGTCTTCTGTTCTTCTCTTTGAGAAGGGGCACTTTGCAGGCTTAGCCCCATCTTGTTTTCAAGCAGGCATGGAGGGGAGCTGGAGGAAATTTTCCAGCCTTTCTGGCTATGTAAAGGAAGACCCTACACTCTGTGTAAAAGAAAACCAATGCTGATCCCGTAAACATGCATATTCACAGAGAAATGAGAGCCCCAGCACCTGGGGATGCCAGCAGTAGGCTGCTGTAAACCCTGTTCTCACCAGAAATAAATGTCTTGGTGGTTATGAAATGGGGCCTAAGCCCTCGTTTATGTCCATGCTGGATTGGTTTCTTTAGCATGTGAAGTCAATGTAAGATGCAAAAGGTTGAAGCACAGAGGTAGACATTGTGGCTAGGAGACGGTGGCTTATGGGCTTGAAGTGACCAGGTGGTCAGCGTGCTTCCAGAGGTTCCTTAGCTGGGATGCAAAGGCCTGGGAAACAGAGGCAGCAGCTTTGCAAGACCGGGGAAACCAAAGCGTGCTTCCTTCTGTCCTTCTCGTACCTGGAGGACACGTCTGCTGGTCAGGCCCCTCTTGCATCTCATTATTGTGGTCAGCAGGAGTTCTTAAAGGAGGGGACAAAATGCGCTGGTCCCTGTTTAGGACTAGAAGGAAAAACTAAACYTTTATGGTTACAAAGCAACACAATGTCCGGGGAGGGAGGATAAGAGTGGGACCCTCCAGACAGTGGAGGGGCAGAAGCACTAGGAGAAGTCTTGTCATGAAGGGCAGGTGCATTTTCTGGGGACAAGTGTGATCCATAGACTCCTGCAGGTAGTCGGGTTTGTGCGGAGCTTCCGCTGCTGGATTTGTCCATGGGGAARGGAAGAGGGGAGCGGGAGTCTGACAGGGAAGCCCACGTCCCCATCCCCTGCTCGGCCACGGCAGAGGGAACCTGAGCAGAACGCAGAGAGAGAGAGACTCTGCCGGGAGTGGGCCCGGAGGCGGCGGGGACACCTCCGGGGGCGGCCGGTGGGGCTCAGCCCTGGGCGGTGACTGCCAAGGCGTTCACGTACCCGTGGGGACCCACGTCCACGTCGGAGAGCCCGTGGGCCAGCGGRGCGGCGGCGGGGGCGGCGGCGGCCGGGCCGTACTTGGCGGGCGGCGGGGCGGCGGCGGGGCGGAGGAGGCAGCAGGTCTCCAGCGCCTCCAGGCCGCGGCAGGTCAGGAAGAAGAGGTTCTTGAGCATGAAGAGGGACAACGGCTGCTGGTAGCGCAGGAGCAGGAGGCAGCGCAGTGCCAGGAGCGGGGCGTCCAGCAGCCCGGCGGGCAGCAGGAGGTGCAGGGCGAGGCGGGCGGCGCCGGGCGGGCGGGCGGCGCTGAGCTCGTAGAGCCAYAGCACCGGCGATGCCAGGCAGAGGAAGTAGACGGCGATGAGCAGGTAGCGCAGCGGGGCGGGCAGCGGCGCCGGCCGCCCGGGCTGCAGCACCAGCTCCAGCAGGGAGAAGCTGTCGAGCAGGTCGAGGCAGGTGGCGAGGAAGGCGGCGGCGGCGCGGTGCTGCGGCGGCGGCTGCGGCGGCAGGAGCAGCTGCCCGGAGCCCTCGGTGCCGATGGCCCGCAGCAGGCAGTACAGCAGCGGCGCGGAGAGCGCCAGGGTGATGCGAAAGCCGGTGGTGCCCAGCGGCAGGCGCAGCTCGATCAGCTCCAGGATGGAGGTACCCAGGATCAGCGCTGCCTTGGGCGTGAAGGCGATGGAGTAGATGAGCCAGGCGAGGTGCGCGTAGGCGAAGTCGCCGCCGCGGGGGGGGACCCCGGCCCCGCGGCCCCCTGCCCCGCGGCCGCCGGGGGGGCCGTGCAGCAGCAGCGGGTGCGGCGGCGGCGGTCCAGGGGGCGGCGGGGGCCTCTCCCGGCGGCGCGCCCGGCTGTTGCGGCAGAAGAAGATGCCCCAGCCGGCTGCCAGCACCAGGTCGGTGGCTATCCAGCTGCACCAGTACAGGTCGGTG